TCGTGGTCCCATTTCCCCGCGTTTAGTGTGAGATGCAGCTCTGTGACGGCGTATTCACGCAGGATCTGGCCCAGTGTCAATGGAAAGAGTGTGCAGTGCTGGGCTGACGCTTCCTGTTAGAAGGTAGCCTTGCAAGTAAGGTAATGACACGCACAGTCATCTTCTACGGAGAGATTTTGCGGATTTCTGGGTATCGTGCCTTCTAGCAGCGTGCTAAATGAGAATCGAGAGGCGACTTTTCCATCACGGAGCGCGCGGACTGTCAGCTCTTCCTCGAATGTCTCGACCGAACGAGATATTGAGAGCAAAGGAAGGTATAGAGACCAGATGAAGCGAGCTTTCCAGTACAAAGGCATCCAGGCCTGGAGATGTGTCACGTCACGTCACAAACCGCCTTTGCTGCGCCCCTGTCAGTCCTGTGGCCACTTCACTTGGAAACACCTTTTGACGAAGCAGTTGCTTGGACACAAAGAGGATGGACTCTTTATTCGAGACGCCCGATGCCGTCCGTAAGTCAGACCCTCCCAGCTGTCGTGTCGTACCCCGATAGCTGAGCTCGGTTCTTTACCCGGGCCGGGCCATTTTTAGACAAGGCTTTCGCGGCCGAGCATATGCCAGAGCCAGGATGCAACGTCAAGAGTCTATACTTGGCGGCTAAAAAACTGGAAGAAACTAGATAAGAAGCTCCGCAGTGCCGAATTTGAATGTGGAGGGCACAAGTGGTCCGTCATCTACTCTCTTTATGTGCTCTACCGCCATATCTCACTTTTCTAGGCGGATACTCCTCTTTCCGTTGGGGTACTCTGAAGCCCTGAACTCTGAAGCACCTCCAAATGATGTCGTCTCCATTTATCTCGATTATTCAGCGCCCAAGAATCCTCCACAGGGATCGCATGCTTCTGCTCAATTCGCTATTATGATGTCCAATATCCACGATCCCACGCTCTTCACCATCTCCCGTGTGCTTCCTTCTATCCATGTATGTGTACTTCCCGCCTGACCTTGACCCACTAGACGGCCGACGTCGCTTCACTGTCGAGGAGCCGGATTGGGGTTTCACTCGCTTTAGCCAGTTGGTCAACCTGTTTCATCGTCAAGAGTGCCACAGTCGGCCCATGATTGAAGAGGATGCTGTCGATATCACGGTCTATGTACGTGTGTTGGAAGATCAGAGGTGTGTCCGTCGCATGGGCCTGAATAACCGCCGTTTCTCATGGTTGGCAAGTCGCATTGCACCTAGTGATCCTCCGGCTGTAGCAGAATTCTCGTCGCTGACCGGCGCTGTACAAGATATTTCCCGCGTTTTGCAAGCCGCAGAGCCTGCGTCAACCTCAGTGCGTTCCAAACTAACTGCCCTCGAAAAGGAACTCGATGCCGCCCACCGCAAAGCCCATAACCTCATGACTGACCTGGAGAATTGTAAAAACGAACGCCGCGCGGCTGAATCGGCTCTCCGGGATGAAAAAGCGGCACGAATCGCAGTGGAGGATCGTCTGCGCACACTTCTCGAGAGTAGTCCGAGCGCACAGAAAGCGGATTTCGAGGATCGACTGCGTGCCCAGGAGGCGGCTCTCGAAGCGCGGGAGGCCAGGGTCCGCGCGGCCGAGGAGGAGATGCATACATATCGGGCGGCTGTCGAGGAGGATCTCAAGCGCACGATGCTCGCGATGCAAGATACTGCAAAGATGCACGTCGAGCGATTGTCAGCGCATATTTCCGATGCGCATAGGACGGCTTCCACGGCGCCCCATGTTTCCCGTCCGTATGCTTGTTAATACGTCGACCCTTGACCAACTCACGAAAATTATTGTAGGGCGTCCACACCCGTCCCCATCCGAGGGTGAACCGCCCGCCAAACGCCTCAGATTTGATGATACGGAGGGTACTTCCCCGGTCTCTAATCTAACGACTTCTTATCCGGGCGACCCAACCGATCCCCAAGTTGAACTCCAAGCAGCCTCACCGGCGAGAAATGACAGCTCCAACCCAGCGAACTCAGTAACAGCTATGTCAGCCTCAGCCCACCGGATCCTCCACCATCTACTCCCTCCGCCTTAGCGCCAACATCATCCGATCCCTTCTCCCGCTCGTATCGCCACTCGTCCACTCGAACTGTACGGGCGCGACCGCCGCCCTCGTGTTCCTTTCCTCAGAATCTACACAATGCCTCAGATATCTCTGCCTAATATTTGCGACACATCTCGCCCTGGCTAACGCGAGGGCCAGCAACGAATCATCATGTATTAACTCCTCGTTGATTAACGAACGAACCACTATATTTATAGTCAGATGTTCCTACGAGATATCCCTCCGTCGTGCTACCTCTCCTCATATTGGTCTTCGTACCTTCTCTGCTTGGTTCAAAAATAGTGAGAATATCCACCACTGGCTGGAATTGGATTGGTCCTGAATCGCACCTTTCTTGCTTGTAAAATTGTATCTTTTCCAGTTCGTCCTCTAAACCTACACCCGCCCGAGTTATACGTTATACATCTTTAAACGGTAATTCAATCGTGCGAAGATCGATTCGGATGATAAATCCCATGACCGTCAACAGCAGAATCAAGGTGCCTCCCAGTACCCCAAGTGACGTCGCCCAAACCTGGACTGGCTGACTATCCAACACAAGGCACAAAGCCCCGGCCATAAAGCAACAAAGCCCCGCGACGACGAGCGAAGGCACAGTCAAACTCGCCGCGAATCCCAGACTTGTGCGAAATCTGGAGCTCGCCAGTCTGTTCGTCGTGTGGCGATAATCCGAAAGGGCATACGCCAAGGTGATGCGCAGGTGATCCTCGAACTCGGAGTCCTTTATGATCTGTTCTACGAGATTCGCTGACTGTCTGAGAGGCTGGGACACCGAACTCCATAACTGCGGGCTGTTAAGCACGGGGAACATCACTCGCTCCAAGTAATGTAGATGATGAACAAGAGCGAGGCGGGCGTCTTGTTCCTTGGGTGAGCCAGACAAGGTTTTCACCGCTCCTTTGAGCCCAGCAAGCGACGACTCCCGTTGCTTTAACAGGCCGTACGTGCGTTGGAGCTGGACTGCGCCAACTATCGCGATCATGATGGTGCCGCCCAGGACGTCGACAAAAAGTCCTGCGAAAAAGAACGCGTTGGTTGCGATCTGGATTTTCGTGGTATTGTTATCCAGCGAGAAACTGATCGCCTGGGCCTGAACAGCAGCGAGGAAGGTGGCCTGGTACGTGGTGTTCTCAGCTATTAACCCACTCATCAATCAATCTGAGCAGCACACGTACAATAACGGCAAGAGAGCTGAGATTGTTGTTCACCAGCTGAAGAGAGTCTGTCTGACGGATTGAGCGTATCCCTTCCCAGGGCTTCGCATGGGAGAGCGTGTCCGCCATATTTACGCCCAATGTCGCCAGCCCGGTGGCTTCACTACATTGATTATCGCGGCTTCGAGTCATCTGTCAGAGTGAGTAAGTGGGGATTTGGTTCAGAGAATGGCTTGGGACCATGGGCGCTCTAGGTATCGGAAGGAAGGTGAGTAAGTAGATGTCGACAGCTGTGGCGACTGATCGTAACTGATATTTGTCCCTATGGTCTTAAGTGCGGCTTTGGCGCGGCGGAACATGTCAGAATGTCGTAAACTGTGCAAGCGGACTCCCAAGCTGCTGTGTCCTATCTTCTTCTGGGAGATGGCAGGAAATAGAGACGGGACGAAGACTAGGAGCAAAGAGGATCCCATCAAGGCAAGAGGACTAGGCTGGACGAGGCGGGGCTAGCTCTAATGCGCCTCAAAAGGGGCTTGTAGTCAGGCCTGCAGTCGACGGGTATGTCCCAGTATCGATGTCAGAGCCACCGTCAGGCTGGACCGCCACCAGCATGCGGTACTTAATCAAGGCTACGCGCTGCCAGTGTGGGCTCATTCCGCGTATCAAACGCCGCCTTGTCAATAGCGACGGCCGTGATAGGGAGCGCAACGGAGATCGTGTTCGTGCTCGACGAGGACATGAGCCGCAAGCGCTGACCGGACGATTCACTTAACCATATACCAGGAATTTCCAAATTACCACGGGGAAGAGGTTCAACTGCTGCAGCCCCGATCCAGTATCGCAAACCACTGTTCAACTGAATTAATTCCAACAACATATACAGGCTATGAAGGTACTTTGCCCACCAATCACCTAATATCTGAGGCTTACAGATGCCCAACATGCAAGCGGGTGACAGTTGATTGTCCGCCGTGTGATGTTTGGGCACTATATCACGGCAGCATGAACTCCGGCGAATATGGCGTTATTAACTTATATTTGCGGACGGGACACTTTCTGCCACTAGGTCGTATACCTACCCAATTAACCCTTCGCCTGTGTGGTTATTCTGAAGATCGGGGAGTGCCTCGCAAGTGAAATCAGCAAGAAAGGAGGAGCAGATTGAGGAACTGTCGGATAGCGCTGGGACTCGAAATCGGCAATCTCAAAAAATATGAAAAGATTCAAACCAAGAACTTACGCAGATTGATTCGTAAGGTTACTATCGCATTGGACGCAGACACGATACCTGCATTAGATCGTATGTCTACCCAGTCAAACCTCGCCTTGGGGTGTGATTCTGGGAATTTAAGGAACCATACACAATGAATTCCCTTAGCGTGGCACGGGACCGCGTTGGGGGCTGCCAGCTCCGTGAGGACGGACGAATATAGTAGACTCGTGAAGGAAACATTGAATGGGGCGGATACCATGGTTGTTCTCGTGACCCAGCCTGCATTGGAACTATGACCTCCAGCGGGGATTATTTTCGATTGCGTCCCCAAAGCTTGCGGGCCCGGTACCTAATTCTTGCTTCCGTTAAGCGGAAGAACAATTAATAATTCACTCACCTCCATCTGTAATTGTGCCTGTGGCGGGTAATGGTCATAGTAAGCTTAGGAGGGAGGAAGCATGAGATGAGATATTTAGGTGCGAGGGGTTTTGGCGAGAGCAGTCTGAGTCGGGCAAGAAAAAGACGAAAAAGTCCAAGAGTTCCAATGACCTAACCTGGAGTCGAACCAGGAACCTCCGCCGAAAAGATGCCTGCGCGCTGCCACAACGTGCGGACGCGATACCGCTTCGCCATGAAGTCCTTCCATAATGCAGCCAGATAGGTTTCACGGGAGTTTGTGTAGAACGCGCAAGGGGTAGCCGAAACAAAACCTTCGGCATTAACCCACCAAAACCTCACATCAGGACCCCGGAACCAGTGACCACCACCACCACCTCTTGGATCATGATCTGTGGCCAGATGGGGACGGCATCAAGTGACATTGTGTGACCATACAGGTTCAAGTAGTCTTGCTCTCTCTGGAATGCAAAGGTGTGACAGATTTAAAAGATGAGTGCGAGAGGCATTCTAGTCTCATTGGTGACCTTGCTCAATTTTTACAAAGCTGTAGAACATGTTTGGACGCCGAAAATCAGTCTCAGGCCTAATTTTTTTGACTTTCAGGTGAGGTATCTCAATTTTCTTGGTGCAGTATTAAAGGGAAGTAGGATATGGGTCTTTTTATTTTGATTTAGCTGACTCCCGCGTCCAACAAAGGAAACACAGGAAAATTCGCTCATCGCCCACCCGAAAAGGCCAATAATGGACCCCAGGAACCAATCACGTGCTGGAGGGTGTCAATATCCGGAATTAAGGTTTCGGCTACCCCTTGAGAACGCGCTCGAAGAAAGGAAATGTCAGTTGATGATGTGACTATACACCTACGGTCCCAGATGTTTGATGACGCAGCTTTGCTACTAGAAAGTAGTAATTGCAATGGGAGGTAGATCTGCGAAATTCAAAGTCGGGAGGACCGCCAGGCGTAGAACGAGCGAAGCCAAGAAAAGATACTGGAGGTGTCGGTGGTGTCGAAGGCCATGGAGGTGTCGGAGGCCATCGGAGGCCTCCCACACCGGAAGGAAGGCCGACCCACGATACTACCCTTTTGGGAAGGTCACGTGTGGACGGCCATCAGACGGCCATCAGGTGGCCACCGACGGCACTTCGCGCTCTATTATCGTTTTTGTGTCGTTTACGCGCCAGGGTGGCAAAGAAATGTTACTGGAGACAGAGCAGATATATTATTTACTCGTAGAAAATAAAGGCCCAAAATAATTTAATGAGGAGCGTGAGATTCATGCCGTTTCGACTGCCTCTTCTCCGGAGACAACGGTAACAACTGCTTGTCTGCCTTCCGCTTCCCCTGAGTGGCGCGTGGAGCGGGGGTGGGCTCTGGGGGGATCGCAGTTGGTCCAGGCGCCGGAGTTGCGAACAGCAGGCGGTCGAGTTCCGCCATTCATTCGCTGGAACTGGCGGTATAAAGAACGCGAATCGCGCGTCTCTGGGAGCCAACGATGCGAGGTGGTCGACAGATCAACAGGAAAGTCTTTGTAGCCCCCTGCCACAAAAAGCTCGCGGTTCTTCTTCTTCACGTCGGCAAAAGTGGCTCCATCGCGAAGCTGGGAGAGTGCGACAACGAAAACAGATGGGTGGACGGGTACCGGAGGAATTCGGGTGTATTCTGCTTGTTTACACGCATCGTTGTGGTGGAAGTACCCTCGAATTCGAAGGATTTTATGGGAGTCGTCGGCGATTGTAATCTCCGCGTGGGCGAGACATGATGTAAATGGAACAGGAGTATGCCGTTCCTTCGTGTGAGACTGAGTATGATCGTACCCGCAGCGGCTGCAACATGATAATTCAGCGATGCTACTTGCAATGAGCCTAGCAAGGACATACCAAAGGTAAAGGATTCTTCTTGTCTTGTTGGTCGCCTTGACGGAATTCGTAGAAAGCCGACTCCACTGTTGAGACCAGCGGTTATCAATGCCCTCACGGGCATCGACGTCGAGCCCTTGCTGGGCCATGATCGCGCTGGCAGCGAGCTGGTCATCGTCGCTGAGAGTGTAGAGGTGATCGACGGGCAAGACCCCGTCATCCGTGGTGGCATGGCCCCGATGCATTTCTTTCAGCTGTTTTAGCTGCTGTGGGGACACATTCAATTGATCCAAAGGAATATCGGAAGCGATGGTGCGCTGCTTCAAGGGCGCTTGCTTATTTCTAGAGGCTGTCTCCGGGGTGTATTGCGACCACTTTAAGTCCCTCTTCTGGTTGTTGTCGTCGGATAGGGGCAGAGAAGGGCCAAATGGCTCGGACGGTACAAATGTGAAGTTCATGGTGGGGATTATGGAGGGTAAAGCAATTGTGGGTAATGTTAGTGCTCAGAGGAACGGTTTGACGCGTGAAAAGCGCGTCCATTGTGGCAAATAATGGCGAGCCACCGAGAAACCCAATTTGGCGAGGGAGGTGCCGGGTGATGGCCGTCAAACACGTGACCTTCCCAAACGGGAACTATCGTGGGTCGGCTTACATTCCTCCCACACCTACCAAAAAATGATATTGGATTTAATATGAGAATCAATTCTTAATTGAGGTTGATACATGTTGGAGAAGTGAAAAAGAGGCCCCACCATTCACCCACCATCGTAATGGCAATGCCCGAAGGCTCGGGTGATGGCCGGGCCATGGATTGATGGGCCAATCAGAACACGAATAACCATGAGCTACAATGTAAAACATTTCTAGTAAGCTCAATATTCGATGAAATATGATGGATCCAGCATCAATCAATAGCTGTAGGAGGAGGAGGAGGAGGAGGAGTGTATTACTGCGGAGGTCCCTATAAGGAACAAGCAGGTACTGTACCTAGGATGCCCTGACAATGAATGGTCCCCAGATCTTGCCTTCAAGTAAATTTTCCGTGCAAGAATATGAAGTTAAACAAGTTCTATGGTTGAATCTTGCCTACCTTACTAGAACATCAGATTTAAGACCTTTAAGAAAAAATTGAACTGTAAAATCTCATCATATAAGCTGTAAGAGGCATATAGGATGTACTGGGCCAATGAGTGAGACTTATTCCGAGGTTTGGAGCCCAAATTTGGACATATGGTTCTGGCATCTTGAAAATGGTCGGTTACACAGGCTCTATGATGTTTAACTGATCATATTGCATTGTTTCAAATGCTTAAAGTCTGCAATTAAACACTCGTTGGGTTAGTTGGTGATAAATATGGATAAGATAGCGACCTCCGACGCCTCCGACACCCTCCAGCAGCATTCTATCCATAAGCATGTGTATGCAATTGAGGGAAGTTGGTAATTTTCCCATCAGGCTGTATGTTACCAAGTCTATACAAGGAGCTGGACCCTAATTCATGCCAGAAAAGCAGAAGGATGGAGGCCTCCTTTGGCCATGCCCTGTGCATAGAGCTACATCTGCTGTGTTTTGCATTATGGTGGTCTTTAGTTCATGGTTCATTGAAGTTCTCGAATTATGTTCTCGGATTATGAATGATATGGAGGATATGGGTCAAAAGGTAGGTGTCGGAGGTGTCAGAGGTATAACAGAGCAGTTCTATCATCCCCGAAAATGAATCTGCCATGGGGGAGTACTTTCAATATTCATGATGAATAGCTGGAGTCACTTGAAATAGTTTTCTATTACTTCAATATCAAACTGGAAGCAGGTTGAAGGCCTCCGACTCATCGGGAGACTGGAAACAGTGAAGGATGCATTTGGGGTGAAAGAAAGACATTATGCAGATATAAGGTATAAAGTGGTACGGCAACTAAGCAACAGCAGTGTTAACGGGATTCAAAGCTCGGGGATGCTGCACAAGAAAACCGTCAAAGTCAGCGTGGTGGTGTTGAAAAGAAATACCTCGACGACGAAACTGTCCCCTCTGTAACAGACTGTGGGGCCGACACCCCTGGGGCGGGGCACGTGAAGAGTCCACGGCTCTGAAGCCGCTCCCACCTGGACATACGGCGCATCCGGCGTCTCGTTACTGCGGGAGCGGTAGTGGCGCCGTCACTGAAGCATTTCTGGCCGCATAGGTGAGATCTGTGCGCGTTGCAATAAACTGAACCACAACACACCTTGAAAATCTCGAACTTCTTGCTGAACAGCGGGACGCTCACGAGGTCGTCAAACAAGTCTTAAAATTGTAGATGAGTCGCGGGGTGGATGGAAGGAGAGTCTGAGAAGCTTACGGAAGAATTCGCCTTGTGCACCGGCGTTTACATCGATGCCTCCCTGGACTTGGACACACCCCCCGAACGCAGTGCTGACCGTGGGATCGTCGCGTTTGGTAGGCGCGACAAAACCAACATCAGCATCGCTAGTAGCTGTTGCGTCGGCCCCCGAGTCAGTGCTTGTCGCTTCGATCGTCCCATCGGTGGTTTTTGCATCCGTCGTCGAGTCCGTGGCTGTCCCGTCGGTCGTCGAGTTGGTGGCGGTTCCGTCAGTTGTCGAGTTAGTTCCAGCGATGGGCTGCGTGATCTGCGCAGAGGCGTCGAGGTTCAGAATCAACGCCGCACTCGTGTCGAGCGCAAGGAAAATGTTCGCGTTCGCCGCCTTCCCGCCAAGCACCGTAAGGCCAATATTCAGACTGGGAATGAGGTGCGCGGTGAGGGTTCCTGTTGCGGTGACGCTCGGGCTCGCACTGAGCGAGAGGGCTGTGATAATATTGATGGTTATCGTATTGGTTGTTGTGCACTAGAGCACCGCAGGACGTACGCGTATCGCCGATGCTGAATGCATTGGAGTCGGGCTTGTTTGAATCATCCGGGGGGAAGGACAGCTGTGCGTTGTTCACGTCGAAGTTGATACCAACCGTCATGTCTAATTGGATGTCCACGTCGCCCACGAACTGTGCGTTGACCTGGTGATCGAGGGGTGGAATTGGTATATCAGTCAGGTGGAGGATAAGATACGGACCTGGAAGGAGGGGCCGACGGTCAGGAGGCCGGGGAAGTCGAATCCTGAAAAGACGAAAGTAATGAGAAAATATCCAAGTGGGAGGTTAAGACCGGAAGACCACATACCAGGGATCCCAGCGTTGAACAGGGGAATTTGGCCTGAATCAACATGTCCCTGTAAAAGAAGGTGAGTGCGTCGCCCACTGATATTGCAACCACACACGCTCAGCTCCGCCCCGACAGTCAGCGTGCCTTGGACCTGCGTGGTCATGCCCGCCACCGCTTCGAATTTTGCAAGCTACGTGCGAAGAAGAAGTGAGTATCAGGCGGGGACGAAG